GTGTGTGGGTGGGTGGGTGGGTGGGAGAAACATTTCTTATCCCAGTAATTGCAATGTACCATCCTACCTTTGTTATATAGGTTTTTTTTAGGTATATTGATGTATCGTAATCTTATGGTTTTGCTTTACTGTAAATCATCTCATGAAAAGATATCAGGCCTTGAGAAGAATCAAACCGTTACGGGGTTCTTGTGCAATTCATTTTATTAAGGTTCCTCAGTCTAGAAACGGTCTGATGAGAACTTCATATGGGACAAAATGTGTGCAAGACTGCGAGTGAAATGCGATTAAGAAAATATATTTATGGAGAACAAGAGCTATATCATCTTCCCTTCCCTTAAGATAAAATTGTACAAGGATATTTATGCAATGACTTGGTTTTTCCCAGGTAAACCATGAAGATTTTAATGAAGGTATTATCCAAGTTCAAGCAAAAAAGAAAGCCAGTTTGAACTACTATGCATAGGATTTTACTTGGCCCCGAGGTTCAAAGTTGAGGGAGAATATAACTATTGGTAAGAAGCTTCAAACTGCAAACGCACTGCTCCGCAGATTTGCAATTGTTCGGAAGTTAAAACTGTTAGGATTTCTCCCCCCTACCCCTTTCTCCTGCGCCATTTACTCTCCCTGCTTCCTTTTTTCCTGAAAAGGAAAGTATTGGAAAACAGAGAATTCAGAAGTTTCAGGGGGCCGACTACATTTTAGTTTTACTTGATTCCGTCTCCATCACATTTAGGTTAAATGTACTTGTGGTTTTTTATGTGAGCTTTCCAGGAAATGAAGAACTCTGTTAAGTTGTTGGAACACTGAAAATGGAATTTGTTGTGTGTTTTACAGTTTATTTTACTGTGTAAGTATTCGTGGTTTTATTTAACATGTTCAGCTCCTGGGCATTAACGAGGAGATTTCTCCTGTTATATTGGAATTCTTTCTAAAATATATCATCTTTTCAGATTCCTTTAGAATCATTGGTAGCATTAGTTGGTATTATTTAGCGCTTTATCGTCTAATCTGAAGCGGCCTTTGAAGGAAAAAAATAAAATAAAACTTCAGATCTTTGCCTCTACTATTTAAATTTGGACATTTAAATCCTTGGCATTTCAATTTTGTTGCATTATTAGTCCAATTTGTCGGTCGGACATATGGTGCTTTCGTGTGGAAGAAGGGTAGAATGGAGGGCGATGGCGGCTGGATGTGGGTCTTTTTGATCTTTATTATTTCGTTATTTTCTTTTATTTTCCTTTTTTGAATTAAGTGTTGGTTTACCAGTCTTATCGGTTATAAAATTAGACATACAAGTCACATGAAATTTTAACGGAAAAGGGACTACTGCTGTAACAAAAGTAAAAGGTTGATGGATCATATGTTTAGATTCAAAGGTTGGATCCTACGTTGCTAAAATTGCAAAAGCTTGAGGAATATTGCTGCAATTTTTTTTCCATAAATTAGGTGTGGAGTTCTGCCCAAAGTGAATTGTTAATATTATTTATTGAGGAAAAAATTTAAATGAATACACATTATTCATTTTTAACTGATTTTAATACAAAATGGTTAACATGGTTTAATGGTGTTGGGTTCAAATTTCGTTGTTACTCATTTATTACAATTGTGTTAAAGGGGTTGTGTAATATGGGTTGACTTTGAAGTGAATGTAACTGAATAAAACGTACGTGTTTGACATGGAAAATTATTTCTAATATGGGTGAAATATAAATTTTGCCATTGTTTGAGCTACAATAAAATTTTCATTCAAAAACCGTTGTTCCATCATCCAACATTACATTTAAGTGAAGAAAAAAGATTTGTATAGCCAACTTCGAATTAATTTATTGGAAATAAGGTTTAATTTATTCCTCATGAGCAGAATGATGACTTAAAAGCGGAATGAGACTGCACGAGTTTCATTGCACATGAAGTTAATAAAATACGTGATTTAATTAAAAATAAAAGTGGACGTGCATTCCCTAAACCTAAACTCTGGATATTGCACATGAAGTTATGAAACTGTGGAAGGACTTACAATTGAAGGTCTCTGAGCTTGGAAAGAAGGTATTTTGTGGCACCCTCAATGTGGGTCTTGAACATTTCTTGCTTCTAACTTGGGAATCAAGGTCTTTATATACTTCTTCATATATGCAATAAATTTCTTATTGTCGAAAGCAGGTTGTTCATGGGAAATTATCGTCAAACGACAAGAAAAAGTTGAAATCTCACGGAACGGTCAAATTTCAGTATTTCACTACCCGCAAGATTACCAACCTGAAGCCTGAAAGTGTCGACAATGTCAACAATCTTAACGGCTTGATCATCTACAACCTCTTCATCACCCGCGCCTTCAGCAGAAGGTTTGGCCCCAATGTCCACATTGATTGCTCCTTGAACAATCCACTATAACCACGAAACATAATAAGAATGATAAACACAAAAACTAAGCCTTATTCTCGATAAAATAAGAACATGGGTCGTACCTTGCCTTCGACTTCCCAAACATTCCATTCTCGATTTCCTTTTACTGGAATGAGTCCGAGAGAAGCTCGTCACCTGAAAATTGATATATAACACTTTAGACAATTTTAACAAGCCAATTTAAAGGTAAATAAGAGAAGATCCTGATAAACCAACATGTTTGCCGACAAAATTTGAATCTTTTTTAAACTTGCAATGCAGAACAAAAAATAAGTTGGAATAGGAGGAGAGAGTTATAACAATGGTATATATAGGATAGGAGACATGAGGAATTTCGAAGCAATTGGGATTAGACACTTTTAAGGAAAATTTCTGATTTGTTTTAGGAAAGGAATGGAATGGAATGGATTGGATTAGAGAGGATAAGGGATTTGTTCGACTACAGATACAACAATCATGCTTCGTGTAGATCATAGTGTACACCAAGTTTTACATTCCACCACATGTCAACCTACCATTTGAGAGTTTAAAAAATAAAACAGTTTTTTCATCAATCATATCTTGCCAATAAGAATGATGTCAAGCATGATGTAAATATGCGATGTACAAGTGGCTTTATTCCAAATACAACCACCACCGTGCAAGATATAAATAAAGGTGGGTTTCTTTGAAAATTTAGGATATGTTTTAAAAAAAAAAATGGAATTGTGGGCTTTAACTGGAAATACGCTTAATAGTGTTTTCCCCGAAACTATTAATAATTAATCAGGTTTTTTGGCAATGATATTATGAATAATTATTTCAGATGACGTTTAATTAATATTAAATAACTTCTAATAAAATAATTATTGAACAATTCCATAATTATAACTCCATTGAGATCGAGGACTCTTTTATTTGTGCTTAGTTGACCATTGATTTTTATTTATTTTTTCCTAGGATTGTGGGAATATTTTCGTGCATCCAATAAACGTTCCTTACACGCATTCCTTTTTTCGTATTTCCCCCTTTTGTCTAGCTAACCCCTCTTTCTTCGGCTTGAAAAAGAGCTAACTAAGCTGTCTTCCTAGTTTTTAACACAAGTTTTCACCACATTCTGCGTCGTCCATATTCGGGAAATAAGAATTTCAAAAGTGTTGTGTAGGTAGTTTTTGTTGTAAGGGCAAAATTACATATATTTTCAGGATTTGGTTGTCCTTCGGCTGTCCATTAAAATTTTGAGGTGTCAAAATTTTAGTAGATGTATAAAGTTTTATTTGTATTCTATTAAAATTTTGACACCTCAAAACTATAATAAAGAATCCAAATTTTAATACCTCAAAAGTGAAATGTGTTAGATATTTATACTATAAATATAATATGTGAAAGAAATAATTAATTCAGATGAAGTACCAAATTGGTGAAAAGTGTGAAATTTGTGTGGGAGGTCGGACATTCGAGTCACACCTCATGCATTATATTAAAATGTCTTTGATTGAGGTATTGAGCTTTCTTGATTCTAATAATAATAATTATTATTATTTTTTAATCATTTTCGAAATTATTTAATGGTCTACTAGCTAGTAAAATATGACGGTTTTTAATTGTCTGGTATTAACAACTCATTATCACTAGNAATTATTTAATGGGTCAACTATCCAATGAAATATGGCCGTTTTTAACTGTCCAGTATTAACAACCCATTACCACTAGCCATAAAAATTGCAAATAATACTAGATCATGGTGGAGACAGTTACATCATTTTTCTGCCTATATAAGAACACATCTGGGCATTAGAATATCATTACAAATACGTATCTTTCTATTCAGTAATATATTATACTCAATTTTACATATTTTCT